ATTATGTTGGAGAAACTTGGAGTTGGACAAGGTTGCGTAACACCCTTGTCCTTGTTTAACGACACTCAACAAGAAGTGACCTTTTTACTAGACGCAAGCTTTGTCGAGGACAATCATGAGCAAGTGAACTTCCACCCAATGACCAACGAAGCCACGACAGGATTAAAACCTGAAGATTTTATGAAATTTGTCAAAGCAACAGGACACGATCCAGTTTTAGTGCACTTCTAGTGAATTTTACCCACAAGATAGCGGCAATAAAAAAGGGGATTTAATGCCTTTCGTTAAGCTACGGCAAAGTCCCCTTTCAAACCTCAAGCTTTTCGTGTAATCAATTCAATGTATCTGTATTAGGTTCCCAAGGGGGGGGGGGGGGGGGGGGGGTATCTTTGGTTTTAAGAAAAAGGGGGTGAAGAAAGGGGGGAAAAATAAAAACCCAAAAAAAAATCGGGGGCCAAAAAAAAAACCCCCCCAAAAACTCCAATCCAATTTACCAACCCTTTAAAAAAAAAAAAAAACAAAATTTTGAACACAACATTTTAATATTCTCCGGAAGAATTTGGGGTTCAGCTGTACTAACGGCATGTGCANAAAAATCCCGGCCAAATATCCCCACATTTAAAAAAAATGCAAAAAACAAAATGGTTTTAACTCACACATCAAGAAAAATGGGCCCGGGCAGGTCGGGGGGCGCCCAAAACCTACAGTATTTTCCCCCCCCCAAAAATACCAAAAGGGAAAAATTCAAAACCCAAAAAACCCTCCAAAAAACCGCAAACGTGAAACAAAGAGCACACCCCCCCCCCCCCCAGCTTGGATTTGGTTCAGCTGGGGATCTTCTTTGTAAAGCTCTGTGGAGCTCACTAAGATCTCACCTACCACCATAGGGAGATTGAGAAGCTGACATTTCAGGTGTTAGCTCTTCAATAGTCTCGCTAAGCCTCTTCTTATGGGTAAGCTTAGAAAGCCCACTATCTATTAGAAAGCCCAGGTTTCATTTGCTTCTTGTGCAAGGCAAGGGAAACAAAAAAGTATACACCAGTATGCAGTTTCATAATTGAAAATGATAACCACAGGGTTCTAATGCTGAATAGAGCTGTTGACAGCACTTATTTGGGATTAAATTCACCCAAACAATGATGAAGACTTCTCCTGTTATTATGCTTTGCTTCATAACAATCGGAGAGATGTTGGTAAGAAGGCTCTTTTCTGGGCATAGATGGAGTTAGGGGTAGGGGCTCCCAAACACAAACAACAAGTTGCTAATAGTATCCTTTTAGGAGATAAAAGTTAGAGACTGGCACTGTTTAGGGAACCATAAAAAAAGAAAATCCCTTGATAGAGTTACCATCTCAGTGGTTAGAGTATTTCAACCTGTATTTTGGATAATCATAGGCTCAAATGACATCAGAAATTTGAATTTTTTCTTTTCTGAGTAAGACAATGAAACATTATTTATTCTTTATCATATCATGTGTTTTTGGAGAAATAAAAGTAGAAAAAGTGTTGGGACATGTTTGCTTTTCATCCAAATCATCTGAAATTTTGTCACGGCCAGTTTATTTATTTGGTATCTCTCACAGCTCACAACCTGAGATTAGGCTCTATTTCTGCTTTGCTTGGTAAATCAAATTCTTGTAGGCAAGTGGAAATGAAAAGAAGTTACTACACTTTTCACATACATGGGAACTCCAAATTTAAAAAGCTGTTGTCACAATTGCATTTTTCGCTGCTGTCAATCATAATTACGATCACAAGCAATGAACCTGGAAACAAAAACTGGATCGAAATTTACCAATCACAGATCACAAACCATGACCTTTTGAACCCATTTAAGTAAAGTTCTGTTTCCTAAGAGGTTCACCAAGATGATTGACAGCAGCGAAAAATGTAAACATCAGTTAACTTTGAACTTCAGAGCTCGTGTGTTTTTGAAAAGCACAGTAAGAGCGACCACAGAGAGAATCCATGAAAGTTGTTAAAATGGGCCTGATGTCAGGTAAAAGGTTCGCTGAGGAGAGAAAGTTAGAGTTGGGTATGAGTTATCCAAGATCCATCAGAGACCAAATCAACAGACAGCATCACAACTATTTTGAGACTGAAGCTTTTGAAAAGCCTTATTTATTTTCCAAACAAGTCACAATGTGCCTACATTTATTTTACAATAATTTATTCAATATTCCAAACTAATGATTATAACATAAGCAACCCTTCTACACAGTGAAATATTACCTCTGTTGATATGTCGACTCTAAGGACACTCAACACATATTGCAAAATTGAGATTGAATTTCTCATAATTTTAAAGGTGAGGCACAGAGGTTCTTGGTTGCCTACGGAATTGCAAGCAGTGTATTCTTCCAGTCAAAGTGAAGTCTTTGAAGATGTACCATACCCCACCAGCAGAGGGGTGTTTGGTTTGCACACCCCACCCCCCCTGAAAATTTCTATAAAATTTTGGCCATTAACCCTTTAAGACCTACATGTGACCAAAATCAACCTTCTTCTAACAATATCAAAACGTAATCAAGAGAAAAGGTTATGAGAATTGATGATCACTAAAGGGGAATGTTTTGTTTCAAATTCCCTCAGTTGTATGTGGATATTGATGCTTAAAGGGTTAAGACCTCCCCTATCCTCAGATTTACCAATGATCCTCCTCAGGTGGGGTGAACATTTTTCTGAAACCACACATTTTTTACAAGATATTTTTTACTCCCAAAGTTCTAATTTTGTACAATCAAGTAGTGCCACTCAAAGACAACAGCAAAATGGTGATTGGAGACTGAAATTAGAATAAGGTTTTAGTGTCCTGAAATAGCTTTAAAGTACAGATAAAGCATCTTCTTACAATGACTTCAGTCTATTACAGCAGTTGCTTTGATCTCACAATCCCTACTGCTAAGATACAGACATTTCTGTAATGCAGACAGTAAGCTCTGTCCCTTTGGTGACACTATCAACAAAAATTTGATGCCTGCATAAATTGACATTATCAAAAAAAAGTTTTATTGCCCATTAAGCTTTTTCAGGTCTGAAAAGCAGTCTGTCTTAAAACATGCAGCTTTCCCCAAAAATTATTGAAAAAGCCTTCCATGCAAATTAAATTACAACTACAAGGAACATTTCTCAAGGGCCATGAAGCTGTTTATGTAACTTTTCAGATCAATCTAGGTTTCTGGGAAACTGCCCACCTACCCCTCCCCTAAGCCATCATTTTGCCCTAAGTGAGACGTAAGTGTTAGCTTAGGGGAGGGGTAGGTGGGCAGTTTCCCAGAAACCTAAATTCATCCAAATTTTCCTAATTGATGAGCTGCACATGTGCCATCTTCTGTTAAAGACTTGATTTTGTGGGCAACTTACACACAAACGTGACCAAGTCTAACTAATGATATTATTATTATTTCTAAATTATTAAATTTACAAGTATACAAAGTCAATTCTGACAGGTATTATTCTAGTCAAAGCATAATAAAACAAAACTGTAAATAAACCTTACTGAAAATTACCAGTAACTTTCCATATTGCTATAAATTTGTTAAAGTTTCTTATAAAAATAACCAAATAATAAATAACAATTGCTAATGAAAGCACACAGTGCTTAGTATTCACTTGACAAACCTGTCATTTTTAAGAAAGATTATTTTTAATTACTAATACATGACTGATACTGAGGCCCTGTTTATATGGAGAAAATCATCTTGGGTAGAAAAATCACTTGCCGACCCAAGCTACTCTGGGCGAGCCGCCTTTTCCTACATTTCCTCATAAACCTTGGCAAAACGTTTACATGAAAAACAAAAAGTTGGAATGACTAGAATGGTGACCCACCTTGCCAGATTACCCTTTTCGATGGTAGGGTCACCCTCCTAGCCCAACCAACTTACCTTCATATCACTAATTTGGCTTCCCTCGCCAGATCAATTTGGTGAAGGCCAGACAATCAAGGATGCGCAAGCACTATTGTTGTGCAAATCAGTCAATTTTTTTCTCATATATAAAACACTCTCGCTAAAGTTGACTTGGCAGACAGGGAAAGTGACCCTCTCTCCTGGGAAACTTTTCTCTATATAAACGGGTCCTGTCTGTCACCAAATTCTGCACCTGTATTTAATTTAGTTACACAGATTAAAAACTTACTTCTTTCTTAACTTAATCCATATTTACAGTGAGGAATTTTTGTGCCTTTTTTGTACCTCTGACTCCTTTGAAAATATTACAAAACTAGTAAATCTTAAACTGAAGTTAAAAATCCTAATTTCTATGTCTCAAACAACAAATCATGTAGTATATGTTGGAAAAATTTTCCACAGTTTTCAACGTTTATTAATTTACATATATCTTAGAAAACAAATTAACAACACCCACAGATATCTACATATTAATTAAATGAAAACAAACACTCACTGTAACCAAAAATTAATGGTGACAACTAAAGCCTGTATAAATTGTTTCCAAAAATGTACAAACTTGACAAGGAAATAAGGTATTGAATAACAGAGATGTGTCGTGGAATTTATCATGAAAATTTAGAGAGTGAACTGGCCACTGAATAGAGGAGAACTCACAGTAAACATTGATCAAAAATATTTACTAAAAACATTGAATGAGGCTATTAAATACAAAGGGACTCCAGGCACAGCCAGGGATGGACAAAATTGAAGAAGACTGAAATAATATTGAAATCAGGGACTTGTCAGCCTAACATTTCTCTTCTATAGTAATAATATTGTTTGCAACTTCAGATGTGACACATGAAAGACAAATTTGTTTGTGACAAAGCTGTGATTAACAGCCCCTACTTTTTTGCATTTGTTATAGTTTTGTGTTCTAGGGAACAAAAAATCATACTATGTGCTAAAAAGCAAGAATTGCTATCTTCATTTTGTAGTTAAAGGTGACTCTAAACCATCCAACAACAACAAAAATGAGAAATAAGACCAAAATCAACTGAAATATAAAACTGTTTTTAAATTCATAAAATGGCATCACGCACTCCCTCTCTAAATCTCTATGTACTTTCACTAAGGTAATATATACAAAAACTACAAACTGCCAACAGTTAAACCTATTCCCTTAAAAATTTAATAGACTTAAAGTCAACGTTATGGCTCTCCAGTGATCCTGTTTTTTACTTTTTAATCATTCATTTTACTAATTTGAATTTTTTGAATCTGAGTAGAGCTGTGTTCTAGCAGCACCTGGTGGTCCCTGGCAAGTTATATCACAATAATAGGATATCACCAGGGGAATTTCACAACTGTACTGGAATAAAAAGTGTTAAGGAGCCAAAAGCTTGAATGAAATCATGGTTGCCTCACATACAAGTTGTGTAAATCACCAGGGACAACCAGAAACTGCTGAAGTATAGTCTTGATTTATTGGGATTCCTTAGGATTCTAACTTTACATAAAAATAATTTGCCAATAAGGAAGGCAAATGAGAAAGACGACTGGAGATTACAAATTTATAAGAACATCATCATGTAATCTTGTTAGTATTTGCTTGCAGTTATATTGACAACATAACAGAATTGCACATGGCAGCCATTTGATTTTCCCATAGTACATCTCAAATACTTGATGTATAGTTATTAACAATCTACATACATACTATCCTTAAATTATGCATTGTTTTGCTTCACTTGGAGTGATGTCACACATATCTACATTATCTATAATTATCCATCATTTTCTATGTTAGAGGTTTCAAATTATAATTCAATTAACCTTGGCATTTTCCCCCATGTCACCTTTGGTTAAGTAATGGTGATGTTCCTCCACTGTTACTGTGATCACTACTCGTTGTAGATCTACTGTCCGTTGACGTTGTCTTGTTCTTTTTCCGTCGTTTAGCAAGCGGAGCTTGTTGAACATCCATTAATGTGAATCCTTCTTTATGTGCTCTGTTAAATGCGTCATATGTCACATTCAGAGCAGCATCGACATAAGTCCTTTTGTGTCCTTTACCTAGAATTCCAGGTGTCATTAGGGGGGTGTGTGGGAGACACGCACTCCCTCGCAACCACTCATGATACAAAACTTCCCTCACTTTTAATCTCTGGCTTGGATCCACGGTTAACAGTCCTAAGAAAAAAAAGGTTTTAAGAAATGGTTAAGTCTGCTGAGTTTGATGCTCAATTTATCAACATTCAAGACACCTTTCACAGATGGTACATTTTTCTTAATCCCTCCTTAACTCTCTCAAATATGGCACAAATCTCTTGGTCTCCAATATGGGTCACCAAAAATCCCAGATAAAATGGAATTCTGAGCTTTTCTGTTCTTTAGTTTTAAATCTAACCCATTTCTCCCCAAAATTAACAAAAAAAAATTCTTCCATAGCACGGTTTCAATGCTGTGGCAATAACACTGAGAAGACTATTAATTTTTGACTAAATTTGATGGTCTATACTCATGTAAGAGTACGTCATAATGTCCTGTCCCACATTATACTTTGAGGACTGAGTAAATTTGTGTTTAAAAACAATGGGGATTGATGTTGGGGAAGGGGGTAGTGCAAAAGAGACAATCTTGTCTTCTCCTCCTTTCACTCCATACTTAATCTTTTCGAAAATGAAATTCAAGGACAATATCAAATTTATTTTTGTTAAATACTTTCACTTAAAAAAAGCTTAAGAGGCTTTATCTAATTGTTGACAATGACAAGTTGTAAAACAGGGACACCAATGCAAAATTGCAACATTTTCAGCTAGCCTTTATTCTGCTATAATTATAATACCTTTGATGAGGTCCTTTGCTGCTGGGGATATCGACTCCCACTGAGGTCCTTCAAATCTGATGTCTCCATGCGTAATTCTCTGCATTATTAAGTCTGAAGATCTAAAACTGTTACTGCTCTGGAATGGCACCTGCCCAGATAGCATTGTGTACTGTAAATATCAAGCAGTTCATTGTTAGGAGTCAAGTTCTATAAACCTGGAGACCAGAGGGAGGGGTACTCCAGAGTTTATGTGAAGGGGATGATCAATGGATTTTTTCAGTTTCAAATTTTCCATTCCAGACGTTTTGGGGCAGAAAAATTTGGCAAATGATTTTTGGGTGCCTTGATATGAGTAGTAGGTTGTTTGGGTCCCATTAGAGTCCACTTAAATCAACAGACCGTACCACTTTCAGTTACGAATCAACAGGTAGCAAATTCCTCAATCCCCTTCCTCCACTAACAGCTGTCACCCATTTCATTCAAGTCTTGAATGCCGCATAGTCTGTCCTGCATCCTTTATGGAATAAGGGGCACTTTCCATTCAACCAAATTTTCGGATTTTCTGGTTGCATAGACCCAACCTAAGCAACCGCACATTTGCTCATTCTTCTTGCAAGCATAATATAAAAAAGTAGTGCTGGGGACACCAATTTTTCAAATGAAAACGGACATTTCGGTCTTGCCAACCGAAATGACCAGACTGGTCATGATGGACCACCTTCAAAGGTGGTCCCAAATATTCCAGTCAGACCAGTCCCAAATGGTCCGTTCCATTAGGTTTCTAACCAAAATTTTCGGCTGAATGGAAAGTGCGCAAACCAATCCCACAAAATGAAAATATTACAATATTTAATTACTATAAAAATGAAATAACATAGCTAGTGCAGTAATTAATAATTCAAAGTAGACAGACTGCAAATTATATTAGTTGGTATAAAGTATTCATAATGTATTTGTTTAAATACTTATATTACCTTTAGTTAATTATTCACAAAAGCTGTAATTAATCTATAACTAATAATAATAATCCTGCTCACCAAAATGTTTAGGGGTCTTGTTAAAATGACTCTTGTGCTTGTACTTGCTGGTTACAGCTTTACAGTAGGTAAGCAGTAACACTGACCTCCTTTTCAACCTGAGTGCACATCTTTCTTTTACAAAATGATGAGGTTTGGAAAATCACGAAAATAGAAGGAATTCTTTCACTTACCATTATTACTCCAAGACTCCACAGATCACATGACTCATCATAACCACTTCGGAGAGAGATTTGACTTATTACCTCTGGAGCGGCATAGGCTGCAGTAAAGCAGGGTGTTTGTAAGGGTTGATTTTCAGGTTTAAGTCTTGCAAACCCAAAGTCAACAATTTTTAATTCAGCATTTTCAGTGTTATCCTCAAATAACAAGTTCTGAAAAAGAGCAGAAACATTTTTATTTAAAAAACGAAGTGCATCATTACAACAACAGTATGAAGTGAATATGCAAAGTGATACTTGATGTTTGAAGGGTTAAATTTTTTCCTGGGTTGGGTGGGAGGGGAAATTAATGAAGTTTGGGTGAGTACATGCCACCCATGCCTTCAAATAATAATATTAATTATTTAAAACTTGTTTTAGATGGATTCTATATCTAAAATCATGATACCTTGTATGAGAAAAAGACAAATTTTGAATACTCTTTTTTATGTCTCAGATATAGATACTTCATTCTAACTTGTGATGAGGGTTTTTTTCCCTTTTTTGGGAGCTGGAGAGTGAAAATAACAAAAACAATAACAACAAAAAAACAGAGAGGGAATGATCTCGGGATAACTTCTTTCTAGATGTAGAGTTTCCAGATCAAAAGGTATTACACATGTAGGTGGTACTTCACATGTGTTTGTATCCCGCAGTGGTAAATTGTGATGGCTTGCATCTTTATGTACCTCAGGTTTTAGATCGCGATGAACAACTCCTCTCCCATGCATAAATTCCACAGCTGAGGCTAATTTTCTTATGATGTTACTTGCTTCTGCTTCACTAAAATTCTTCTTCTTACGGATTCTCTCTAGAAGTTCTCCGCCACTAAGTAATTCCAGTACTAAATAGGTGTGAAACTGAAAGAGATCAATGAAAACAAATTTAAACAAGACCCCCATATATTGGGCCTGGTTTTGAGGCTGCCGAATGCGCGATGCAGTAGTTTTTTATTTTGCGAAGTAAAGATTATAATAACAATTTATTATTGTACACTTTTTACCAGTTTAGGTGTATAGCTACTCCTAATATGTGGAATGGGATAGAAATAGCTTTTTGATGCAAGAAATGATCGGCATTATTTTTAACTGAAACATCCCATCCCTCTCCCACCAAATATGTAGAATAATAGTACTAATGTGACTAATCTGATCAAACGGGAAATTCCAAACATTATAGCTGTTCTACACTGTCTTATATAAAGGGTCAATTTTCGTGTTTTTAATAATAGTTTTCTGTTTCTTAAGAACTTGAAAAGCGAATTAAGTTCCAGTTTTATTTCTTTCAGATAAATTGCATTAAAAGCCCTTCTAACTATCCAAGTGAATAATGTTTCTATTTGACGGGGGCGATCAACAAATAGCATATTCCTTTCTGGTAATGAAATAAATTGCAATAAGTTTTAAGCTTTTCCCATGACCATGGGAGGGCATTGTTCCTGCAGCACCTGCATAGGCTAACAACATCATTCGATTACTGTACTTAGATAGTCATGATCATTTGGCATAGATATAGGGCCAATAACTCTACAGAATAATTTTGTGTTCATTCCAAATCGACTTCCAATTCTGTTTGCCAGATGACCAGAAATGACCTGTCCCCTCCCTGCAAAAATAGGCCCCATTGAAGGGGGAATGGGACATGCAAAATCTTCAGGAAGTTCTGTCCACCATTTTGTCTTTTTTTGACATAGAAAGAATTTGCTTCTCTGCATTTCTTAATTGCGTGTTGCCCTCACGGGCAGCCCGATAAAAAGTGGAACATGGAAAAACATTGTATGAGCATTGCAGTGTATGCAATTAGCCAGGGCCCAAGAAAGTTGTCCATTTCCAGGAAGAATAACAATGATAAGCCTATATCCTTCAATCATATAAACTGGGTGAATGCATTATAATTACAAAACACTTTGTACATGGACAAAGCTTCTTAAAGATTGTAAAATATGAGGATTCTTGATTGCAGAGCACTTACAGCATCCTGAAACACTTCTTGAAGCTTTACTATATTGGGGTGCCCTTGACATATCCTTAATGACTGCTCCTCTCGAATGTGGTCACGTCTGAAAAAAATATAACACAAAATTATATTTAATAATAATGCTATAAATGTTATCTTTGTTTGCCCACAATCTCCGGCAATCTTAACACATACCATATACCTGCCAACTTTTTCTGAGATATAAGCGTGAGATTTTTATCCTGGGAGTGCTGGGATGTTTGAAGACGACACGATCATTTCCGAAGATTCCCGAAGAAGTCCAAAGTCTCCCGAAGAAGTCCGAAGTCTTCCGAAGACATCCGAAGTCTTATCCACAAAATCAGAGATCACGAGGAAGGTATTGTCATTTATTCATTTTACACATGGTTTTCGTTCCTTACATGGGTCTGAGTTAACATATTTTTGGAAATTGTGTCAAGCAAGACTGCAACAACTCACATTTTTCAATCAGGCGTGAGAAATTGGCCTGCAAGCGTGAGCCGGCGTGAGATCGAATTTTTCAACCCGCAGGCGTGAGAGTTAATTGGCAGGTATAATACCATTGTAACATGTTGTTCTATAAAATAGCCTAACAATAGTTATTAGGTGTCAAATGAATATATTTTAAAAATGAAGTAGTAATCAGTAGACAAGTGCACTGTTTGTATGTCTCCTACAACTGGAGAGACCTCGCCAGTTTTAGGTGGTCATCTAAAGTCTTGCTGTCCAGCTTTTTGGGGACAAATTAAAGGCATGACATTTTTGTCTTGGGAAAACTAGGGTCAGCATATTTAAAGACATCAAATGAAACACTGTGAATCTGTTTTAAAATTGGAGATTTGGGGGAGTGCATGGTCATTCACATGAACTTTTCTTGAATTAGCTTGAGGCCATTCTACTTTCTATAATATACAACTCTTCTGTTTTGTCTAGGAACCTCTGGATATGGCCTGATCTCACTCTTGGTCTCCTGTCTGAGTCACCAAATCTCCTGGATAACTTTTCCGTTACTTACTAGTCTCAAATTTAGCTCATTTTCCCCCAAAATTCAAAAATGTTTTGAGTCATAGTGCAGTTAAGTTTCTGCAGCATTTTTGCACATACCTCATCACTGACTAGTTGGTCACAAAAGGGAATTTTGACAAACTGTACTTCATGTAAGACTTTATAATATCCTGACTCCCACCCAGACAGGTTGGTTCAAATGTGTTTATGAGCAGGGGATAATAAATTGTTGTTGGGTGGGAGGGGAGGGAGAGGGGGAGTACTGCAAAGGGAAGTCTCCAGGCATGCGAAATTAATCTGCAAGCAGTCAATTGGTTGCAAATCCCATCCATAACTCACTTTTTCCTCTGCCACTTTTTATGACATTAGAAGTAATTACTCTAACTCTTTCTTAATTATCATTGTTACTGACATCACTACCAACAAATACTTTTTATAATGTAATATTCTTTCACAAAGAAACAAGGTATTGAGAAACTGAAAGAATATTTACCTTCTACTAATAACTTTAACAGCATAAGCTTTACCAGTCTGTATGTGTTCACATTTCCTTTTAAAAGAGAAGTCACAATTAGCACAGGAATTTATTACTATTTTTTTTTGTTCAATTAATAATATAATTTCACCTGTTTCTGAGTAGAAAGAGAAATTTCATGGAATGGGCAAACCCTACATACAATGTAGACTAATAGAATATTACATCCATTAAGAATCAAAAGTCAGAACTAGCTCAGAGAAAATTGATGCAATAAACAGTACTGCAGAAAAGAACTGTTCAGTAGAATTCAATTGATAGCCACCCAAGGGATTTCATCCACAAACTTAGTACAAAGTTACATCCCCCATAAGGCATCCAACAATATAAGAGCCTATGATCAGCTCTCCAAGCTGTGACCAATTTGGTTGCCTTGGTGAGTAGAAAAAAAATTTTGGAAACTAAAAGTGTAGAGAATGTCACCAACTGGCCAACCTGTGTTCAGCAGTCATGTGGCAAGCCGTACCCTACTTATTGGTTGAATTATCTTTCAAAAGCTTAAGTGAGATTAAAAAAAAATCATGAAAACATTATTTATGCTCCATTTTCTTATAAAACCTTGAAGTTTAGGTCGAATGGAAAGTGCCCAATATTTTGTGTCCAGGAGCCATTTTGTAATCTTACGTTGGCTGCCAAAACGTGACTTTGAAAAAGTTGAGCTTGGAGTACTGATTATTGGTTTCAGGTTTAAAATCTCACCTGCATGTGGAGAAGCTTCCATCACCAAGAACTTCATCTTTTATGACATAATTTTTAAAGAAAGGAGAATCCTGTAAAGATAGATAATTTGACAATTTATAATAAGCATTTATTTAATAATATATAACAATGCACTTAAGAAGATTTCCAATTATTTTATCCAGTACTCCACTTCCCTATAACACTAACAGTAGCCATGGAAATGATACACAAAAAATCAAATTTCTTTTAATTTTTAATAACATATTTGAGTCACAGGAATTACTCAACAGATGAAAAGGAGCAGAAGGGCTTATTAAGGCCGGTCCAGAAACCGTGCTTCATATGAGTTTAGGCCCACTCATATTAATTTATGCCGGCTGAATTGATTCAGACGCCAATTTTTATTCCAGCCAAGCAGGCAAAGGAAGTGGTGTCCGATAGCCCGGGGCTAGTGGATTTTGCTACTGGGCTGGTGAATTCTGTTCTCAACTTGCCCGATGGGCAGGTCAAGTTTTTTGGGGAATTCACTGTTATCAGTCCTGCTCATCGAAAAAAAATTTTCGGCCTATATAAAGTGACTCTTGCATGGGCTAGAACATACTAGCTATGGCTTGTCCGAAAGGCAAGCTGTAAAACGGACTTTCTTTGCAGCCTGCAGCCAAACTAAATTCAAAAGGGAAAAATGCACATTTCTGTGGACAACATTTTAATAATTTATGCACTTGATTTGGCTCATGTAAAGTTCAGTATCTGAATCAATGCCAGTTGTCACCCGTTATTCCCAGCTGAGCCAGGTTTAAAGAACGGCCCAGCAGATCCAAATGCAATTAGCCATATCATTTTGAACTGATTCAGGTGACATTTAACTTAAAAAACTTAATTCACTGAATTCAATTCAGCTCACGTGAATCACTTGAACCAGGCCTAATGTGACCATTAGAAATGGTGACAAAAAGCAGAACTAACATGAACTAGCTAGACATAAGGACCTGGCCATGAACAATCTCTCTTTTTTCTTAGTCCATTGAGCAAAACACACAAGAGATGAAAACGACCATGCACGTGACTGAGGGTGCAAGGCAGAAGAGGCTGCCACCCTCGTCACTCATGTGCATGTGCACTCCCCTCACTAAGTCTGAAGAAAAAGAGTGACTGCTTGCAGTGTACTCCCTTGGAAACAAATTTAAAAAACTTTCCAGAATTCAAGGGCACCAAAAGACGGTTTACTCCTAAGCTAAATGCATTGTAAACACTTTTTAGGCTATCCAGAGTACTTTCAAATCTCTAGAAATGCATTCTAAGTGGTGCTATAAAATTTTTATCTGTTCAGTCGTCCTAGGGCTACGTGAGTCTTTTCAAAATTACAAGGGCTTCGTAATATTTTCCAAAAAACTTTAGATGCATTTTAAAGTATTACGAAAGTGAGAATTTTTTTTATTCCTCTCTCCATCGCATTTTCGAATCAGAAAATTTAGGTTTCCTTTTTCTACGAAAAATAACTCAACCTGAGGAGTGAAATGTAAAAAATTAAACTTTAGTAAATAGTAGGGAATTTGTTAGATAAGCTTTGAAATTTGTACCTGAATGAAATGGTCATCTAGAAATTTTAAGCCTTCCTCAGCTTGATAAGCTATAGAAAATTCTAGACAATTTTTGCTTCTCTACACAGATATTTTACAGACAACAGTCGTTGGGTGCCCCTAAGAATTTTGAAGCCAGCGATTAACAGTAATGTTAATACTTCACCCACAACTTCAATTTTTTACTCAAAGGAAAAAACTTTCTCATTCATTTAATTTGATTGACAATAATTCAAGCATTACCTCAAACAATGCAGCATAGTCCACAGCACCAGGGAGAGGTCTGTTTTCTGATGGCTTGTTGGCAATAAATCGCTTTGAAAACTCATTTTCACCAAAAATAATTGAAGGAGCAACAAATGAATACCCCTATAGGTAAAAAATTCAAATAGTTTATAATAGGTCATGTTCTAAAAGGCTGGAGTGTTCTAAGTAAAAACAGTTTTCACTGGCAATTTGATTTAATTTTTTTTTTTTCAACCATGTTCTGTAAAAGATGTAAATTAAAATAAACTGTCTTTATTCTCATTGTGTCCCACTGAGATATTCGAACAACACAATATTATTAATTTCAGTCCTGAATGGCTACAAAAGGTAAAATGTTCAGGGTGTTTTCTGTGGCCCTGAAAGAAAAACTGCATTAAGTTTCAGAGGTACCAGGAATTTCAGAAGTGTGAGAACCTTGATTTAAGTTTTCAGGCATTCATGTGACAGATCCATGCACAAAAACAATGAGAGTCTGCAAGCCGTTAGTTATGCAAAAACTATAATTTGCACAAAAGAGCAGATTTAGGCCAACCAACATAGTATCATAGCAGTCAGAAAATACATTGCAATGACTTTTATTGTTTACAAAGAACCTGGGAATGGATTAGCGTTCTGACATTTGGAATCTGAAATTATGTTCAGTTGAGAAATCTTGTTGTTCAGTAGAAATAGGTCACAACTATACACTAGTTAAAAGTTGCTAGATTCCCTTTAAACTACTTGAATTTCAAGGTGTCAGTTGACAGAAATTGCAATCAGTGTTGTTACTAAGGTGCATGTAATGCTGGAAAATTCAGTCTGTTAATTATTATTATTAATGGCTTGATAATACTGCAAATAGCATTAAAATAATTCAGATAACTCGGGTAGATACGTTTACCTTTGTTTGATTAATTGCTTATCCCTTTTAAGTGGTTGCGCTGACACTTCACTTCAAAGCTAGGAAAACCCTTCCATTTGACATTACTGTATAATGCGTTTTTTCAACTATCTTTTTTTTTTTAATGGCTCCTAACTTTTTGGCCTCGGCGACCACTTTGGAAAATTTAGGAGCCAGATGGCTCCTTGCCAAAAAAGTTAATTTCGTGCCCTGATAGCAACAAAAATAATGCAGGCTTTTCACCAAAAGTAACTAGTTTTCAATCATATTTTGATCAAATATTGATCAAACCAGTTAACTGCCATGCCAAGTGAGATGAGTTTTTACTTTGTGGTGGACTAGTGATGGCACTAACAATATTATAACATAGTTTGATCTCACCTTGAAAATTCTGTCTGCAGTCTTTGGAGCAGCAGCGGGAGAGTATGTTGGTACCATGTCTGTGAACTCCTCAGCAAAATTACTCACATCCAGTTCATCCCTAATGCGTGGTTTGAAGGGTGCTGCTACCTTCCTCTGGGACAACAGGTTCCAGTTTATGGACTGTTAAAAAAGAATTTGAACTATAATGATGAGGAAGGAGAGAAAATATCTGTGTTCGGAATCTGCATAAAAAGGTTGCAGGCCCCATCTTTTAAGGTAGAGTTACATTCCCAAGGTGCATAATACCCATGACTTTAATTTATCCATCATGGTCACCATCATGGTCATCACGTGCCCTGACTATCACCATCATCATCATCATCATCATCATCATCATCATCATCATCATCATCATCATCATCTGTTGTCATTGGTCTATAGCAACAGTAACAGCACATATACACAGCCTGATCAAGACGTAACACTGCAGTTACCTTGAAGAAAGAATGTGCTTTAATCTCATGAGCACCCTTGGCTCCTAGCCGTACTTTTGGGTCTTTCTGTAAGAGCTTGAGAAGCAGATCCCTTACATCCCATGAAATGTCTGGTGGCATTGGAGGACTGTTGTAAAGAATGCGCCTGAAGAACAAGAAAAATTAAATGGTGAGAAAACGTACCCACTATTCATATTACACTGTCATTGCTGATTTGAGCAGTATGCAGATAATATGCACATAAGAACCTAGTTTACTATAATATGGCCTTATTTGGAAGTGGACAAGATGACCCTAATCCTGCATTCTGATTGGCTACCCAAGTGGGAAAGATGGGTCCATCTTTCCCACTCACAATTTCCCATGTAGGTCCCGCAAGAAAACATTCTCTTTTTGGCCATAAAATAAATCCTTTATTGACCAAGCTCATTTGGTTAAGACAGCCAGATATTGGCCTTGTTCTGTCTCGGTTAATAAAAATGCAAAAAAAGAACTTGGCCGATATCCAGCTATCTTGACCTCACACTTGGTGAGTAATGCATATATAATGCTATCCACAAGTCTTTGTGTAGTTGAGTACATATAGCATCCATTCATTTTTTGGGATGTTATAGGTTTGAATCCTGTCGGGGACTCTCAGATTTTACCATTCCTAACCCTTAATGAGCAAACCTTTCTTACTTTGATATCTCAGATTGACTGTTCTTCTCTCCATCAACAGTGAAGGGAGATGCACCTGTCAGCAGTTCATACATCAGGACGCCTAAGCTCCACCAATCAACTGCCTGACACACACACAAAAAAAACAAGCAGATATGCTATAGCTTGAATAATGTTACTAGGATCTCAAAGCTGTAGTGTAAAATTTTATCATACTGGATGATTTAACCTTGACCCTTAACTTTATCCTATTTGCTCAATACAGAACTAGTGTTTCAAATTAAAAGTCTAATGAATTAAAAAATCGAAGAAGTTTGCCTACAGTGGCGTAAAGCCCTAACTGACTTCTAATCAAATACCAAAGTCTGACTCACTCTCTCAGTTACAGAGAGAACATGAGAAAATTTGTCAGAAGAATTTCGCAGTTTATCAGAAGCCACTTGGATGGATATTTTTCCCAGGCACTGTATGTTATGAATTATTTTGCTGTTAAGTGATAGGGTTTGTTCATTGTCAGTTCAATGACCATGTTTCCAGAGAAAACAGCCAACACTTCATGAACTCACCACTGGTTTCCACACGAAACAATATCAGAGGAACCAGTGCAGAAATTCCATACCGATGGCATGTCACTACCAAGACTGGTTAGTACTCGTGATTAGGCTCTTACCGATAGTGCTAGCACTTTTTTTAGCATTATTTGGCTTCGCGAGCATTTTTTTTTTACATTTTATCCCAAAAAGCACTGCTAGCATTATTTTGGATTTTCGACTGATTATTTGTATAATTTTGTCTTAAAAAGCACAATCTGACTTTATTTTTGTCCTCCAAAGCCGCATTTTGCCCTCATTTTAGTCAAAGGAGCTGAGGACGCCCATTACAACTTCACGACGATTTAAGTGTGTATTTCAGAAATGGGCATAACCGCTGGATTTTGTACCCTGAAGGCTCAATTTATTCCTCCGGACTTTCCCTTCGAGAGTGCTCTTTTTGACTCGGTTCAAAGAAGGTGATATTTTATGGCGGAAGACTCAGAAGCGAATTCAAAGGAACTGAACAATGGCTTAATTAAGCTGCCCAGGGCCGCGAAATTTGAAAGGTATCCTTTTGTTCTAAGTGTGTCAATAAAACTGCAGAGAATTATCGCACATATTGCAGTAGAAGTTTATGGATTTAAGTCTTTCGCAAAACGTCTTCGACTTGGACACGTATTTTTCAAAAAGGAGAATTTTGAGAGCTTCAAAAAGAGATCTTGAACGAGAAATTTCGACCACTGTGGACCGAGATTGGATTTTTTTTCTTGCCGAGGTTTCGAAGTACAAAGCAAGCCGCTGAAGCATTTTTTCTCGCCTATCGCTTAATAAAATCCGGCCGAGAGTTATCCATTCATTCAATCATAACAGTTATTCATTTCTCCAGAGCAATGAAACTATACAAGGGTTTCTACAAAATTATTTCGATGAATTATGAACTCCGCAAGTTTTGATCTGTCGATTACAGCTCTTGTTTTGATTTTAGATATTTCCCGTCTCACTCGACTTCTCCGCGAATCAAGTTGTCATACTAATCGGTGAACTGACAATACGCGGTTATTTCGGGCCCTGCAGTCACGTAACTGAAACGAAAGGTTTTGTTCAACAACAAAAAAACTGAAAAGCAAGCGAAAACGTCCAAAAAAGTGAAACTACACTCTAATAAAACTGTGTCATCCCGTTAAATGCATTCACCGCTTGCTTTTTTTACATTTAAAAAAGAGTTGTTCGCTCTTGATTGCAGAGCTACTGAATGAATAAAACGTTCTAATAAATAACTTCCGCAGCAATTCTTTAAAACGCCAATTTATTTTCAAGGCAAGAGAGTATTTAATAAAAAAAATGCTATTGGATACCAGGTATTTATAAGCTTTAATCAACTTCAAATTTATCAGGCTTGTTTCCTTTGTAATACGGTGCGTGACCGAAAATATGTTATGCAACCAGAGTTGTCCGCCACGCTTAAAAGACTTGTAAGCGTTCCCACAGACTGCAGCAAATTTAACAGGCAAGTCTGAGTATTTTAATGGATAAATTTAATACTCATCAGGTAACAATGGGGATTAAAAAGTCAATCAAGCAACAAAATTCGAAACAAAAGAGATATATCGCACCTAAATCAAAGGAATTCCGCTCGTGGATTCTTCGGAAGGTAATCGACAATGGCAAGAACAATAGCCTGAATATATGAATACTTGATAACCCCAAAATTTGGGGTACACACTTAAATCGGCGTGAAGTTGTAATGCTGGGGAATAGGTTTGATAGGTCAGCGGTTGCCCTCTAGAAACCCAGTCCACACTCATTTGAAGATGGCGTCATCCACGTTATCATCAAGGAGCAATGGAAGTCAGCCAGCCAGGGCAGAGATAGCTCGAGAGTCTACTCTGCCATTTTGTTGTTGAAAAATGTAACTGAAAATCTGAAAAATGTAATATTCTATGTTTAAAAAAATTGAAAAAAGTGAGCTTTCTCATGTAACCCACGAGCACTTTTTAAAAAAATTAGCATTATTTTAGCACTTTTTGGCAAAAAACAAGCACTGCTTTAAGCATTTTAATAATGGTTTTTTTTACGAGCACTATCGGTGAGAGCCTACTCGTGATTGGTTGGAGCAAATTTCCCTTGCAACACAATGTCATTTTGCTAGGAAACCAGTGGTGGCCATGTGAAATTTTTGCTGTTTTCTCAAGCTTATGACCATGCCATAAAATTATGATCATGCATATTAGCACATAATAGGGTATTTCACTAGTCTTATAGAACCTTGGGTTCCCTGTGCATTAAACATGATTTGTTTTTAATATTACAGTAAATTATAGCCTGTCAGCCTGGATCAAACAGAATGGGATCATTGTCCCTATCCTAAATTTTAACTCATTTAGTGATTTTCACGGGGTGATATGATCTGGTCCAATCCAGGTTTAAAATTTTTTGATGCCTTAAATTATACAAAGTGTGAATATTATGCACTGTTGAGCTTTTAACAATAGCCCTGGTCCCAGTGTTAGTACTGACAGAATTACAGCCAGCCTTGAGAGTTGGGAGCCTGGGGGAGTACTCCCTATAATGGCCTATAGGGGGGGGCTCTGCCTGAAAGGGGTATGGATTTCAATATTTGAAGTATATGAAAGGGTATGGAAATCTGTCATTGTGGTCATTAAAAAGGACCCAAAGGACTAACAGCTGCATTTGACGGCTGTGAAAATGTCAACAAAACCTTCTGGTTTAAGGTTTATTTATATTTGCATTTACAGCAGTTGAAAGGGATACCAAGTTCTAAACTAGGGATTTGACAGGGGTATGAAAGGGGTACCTTTTATGCCAAAAATGGTATAAAACTATCACTGATGAATATGAATTAATATCACATAGTGTTTGATGATTTATAAATATTAATGTTCATCATTTACCTTATCATGGCCTCGACTTCCACCTTTAACAACTTCAGGAGCCATGTATTCAATGGTGCCACAAAAAGAATAAGCTCTTTCCCCCTGGGAACAATTTTAAATAATCAATTACCACAATATGTTTACTGATATTGCAAGGTCATTAGACATTTTAAGCTGTCATGAAAAACAAATTCAGCGGAAGTTTATAAATATACATAAAAATAATCTTACAGAATTAGCCGCAGAGAACTCTTTACTCAATCCAAAGTCTGTGATCACGACGTGACCATCGGAGTCCAACAGAATATTCTCTAACTTGATGTCACGGTAAATTATACCGAGCTGTAAATAAATCAATATCGCAATTCTTATTAGGCAAACTACACATATCGTGAAATTTCAAGAATAAGCCTAAAAAGTTAATAACTTGCACGCAAAGTCGAGTGTAAGTAACACCGGCCCCAGGAAAGGTGTCAAATCTCAACGACTGTTAAACATCTTCCAAAATATCCAGACTTTCGCACCTAAGAATGGGTTTACTCCTCCAAAAACTTAGGTGTGTAAGTGAACAGATTCGATTGAGCAGGTTGTGTTGGCTTAGGAGCCAAGGTGAAGAACGGCAAGAAAAAAAACTGCCTTTCTGTTTCACTTACCTTATGAAGATGTTCGATGGCGATTACGATTTCGCCTATGTAGATCCGTACTTCATCTTCGGAGAATTTCTCCCGTTGATACAAATGAGTGAACAACTCTCCGCCATTGACATAATCTGCAGTTAACGAAGTTAAATCAGCGTAATATTTCAACCAAGGAAAATTAAAACATTATATTTCGAGATCGGAAAAAGATCATGCAAATTTTGCGTGAAAATGAAAGATGGTATAGATGCAGAATTGCCTGAGGAAATGACAACAGATATAGACCTCGCAGACGTGACAACGGCATGAAATCTGTGTTTAGCTTGACAAAAATGATTTTGTTGATGTTGTGATGAAATTAAGTTATAGAAAAGCCTTCTTGAGGGGGTTAGTTGTATTTCCATATGGCGGACAAGGCGTCAAAAGTGTTTAAACATACCCATAATCAAATGAAGCTTGGATTCGGTTTGAAAAGCCCAATGTAATGTGACAAGAAACGGACATCTTCGCACGGCCTCTAGGACTTGTCTCTCTGTTCTTGTATGCTCAGCTGTCTTCGCTTTCTGAACGATCGTGGCTTTCTTCAAGACTTTCATGGCGTAAAGGTTACCAGAGAAATTTCCACCTCGTTTGCGAACGAGAAAAACTTTTCCATAGGCTGTCAAGCGAAAAGTTATAATTTCGTAAGTCAACAAGCACCTCACATACAAATCACAAACGGGTTCGCACAAGAACTGCACGAAACCTCTCTCAAATTCAATCAAACTTCTTGCTATTTACCTCCAGTTCCCAGTACTTTGAGAAGTTCAAAATTCTCCAGCCCAACTTTTTCATCTTCGTGTACTGTTAAATTCGCTAACGAAATAAAACAAAAGTTATTCTGCACTGATCAACTATGCTTATTGTTTATGTACAGACAGAGCACTATAAATGCCGGAGATTTTTCGCTTCCACGCATAGCCTAAAAATATACATACCGTTTTTGAGCTCAAGGTGAATTAGTTCAGAATGTCCAAAGCCATTCTCACTCATCTTTTAAGCCGTTTGAAGCCGTACAAGGCTTACGAGGCCGAAAACATACAAACCTACAAAATTCACTCGACATAGACTGTTTCGGAAGCAACCCGAAATCTATTCCGACCTTCTGATTGGTTAATCACCGGTAATATATTTTGACTCACGTGACAAAAAAATTTTCCCCTTCCCGAATTGCACAACCTACTTCCGGTCAGTTTCATTGCGTCTTGGCCTCCAAAAAACACCCGGAGAGAAAATATTACTTACTTCAGAGTAAAAACAGCCTTGAACGAAATAAAACCGTTATCGAAAGAAAGTATAGTTTTTACTAAAATAGGTTTAAACAATTTGTTTTGTTCCAGCGCAGAAAGAGAGTTACTTCCGGTTGAACTCATGTGAGGAAATGTTAAGGAAACTCAAAATGCTAATTTCCGCCTACTCGTACGTTTTTCTCTTTTACGGAAAACCATGCAGTTAAATATATCAAGTTACTTTTTCGAGGAATAAGGAAAGTGTACATTTCTCTCTTAATCAAAGCTTCTTTCTCCTAGTACGACTCAAAATGAAGGCGAGGAGTAAAACGCAAGTGAGACCGGAAGTGTGTAAATTCATCAAAATAGCCAATATTTCCACTCCTTGTACTGGTCTTCTTCTGAGACAGAACGTATACTATGAACAAGAGTTACCGAAATCAATGTTTACAGCTTCAACAAAAATAACCACAAAGCAGAACAGTTCTCGACAGTATTTGCATCTCTTTTACTTTTACCCCCACAATCAGCGTCACAATGCTAAAAATAACTCATTGCAAACAGTTCATCCGAATTTTTAAAGGTTTATCTTTTCTTTGTTTTCTTCTCCGTTTTCTTCCAAACAGAAGGCTTGATATAACTAGGCGTGCTAATTGAGGCAATTATTATCAGAGAGAAGCAAAGTTGGAAATTATATAATGCTCATTTTCAAGAATTGGAGCAAAAGTCTGACTGGAGAGATACTTCTAAATCCGTTTTCAGGGGAAAAATTCGTGGATATGTAATCGATACTCTTTTAGATATGGACGACTATGTTGAAGTCGACACTTAAGTTCAAAGAAAACACCCTTGAGCTCTTCAAAATGGATGTATAAAAACGTATTTAATAAATTTAACTACTTTTACTTCTTAACAATTATTCCTCGAGCCCGAGTTGGCTCTGAGTCAATAGCCCATGAGGCGGAAGGCCGAATGGGCTTTTGACTCAGAGGTCATGAGGGCGAGTAATTGTTTAAGTAAAATTCAACTAGTTGGTCAAAAATATCTAGACAAGACAACTTCAGCTAGCAAAACACGATTCAGCAGCCAACGCCGGCGCTTTTCGATACTAGTGGACTATAACATATAGCCTTCTAGTAGCTGAACCAATCAGAACGCAGCATTGATAATAGACCACTAGTTGGATTTTATTAATACATGTAGCAAATAGTTAGGCCGTGAAAGGTTTCAAATTTTATCCTCTTCGTAAAACTATTATTACGTCTCGTTTTTCTTAGTTTTCTTTTTTGTCCACCGTCTCGATCCTTTGGTCTGCCTCGATGTTGACTTAGGAGTAACTGTGGTTTGCGTGAAATATTTCCTTTTTCATTTTCACTCAGTTTACTTTAATTTAATACTTGTAAACTGTTTCATGTGCAATAAAGTTGTTATTGTGTCTTGAAATTCCGACTGGTCTTGACCTGAATCCCTATCAGCTTCTTTACGTTCTTAGTTCAAAACCCCCCCTAGGCAGAACAAAACAACACTACGCCCCCACACTCAAAAAGAAAATGTCAAATATAATAGTGCTTTGGTCGTAGTGGAAATGCTTTCAGCTGCTTTACTCATTTGAGAAACAGCCACTTAAAGAATTTGTATTAAAACATCAACAGCTTTGAAAACCGCAACTGCAGACAAGAAGCAACCAGCTGGCTCAATCTCGCTATTCACTAGCATGTCCGATGATTTCAACTGAGGACTTCAACTGTGATTCAGATTTCAGATTTTTTATTTTTTGCAAGTTATTACAAGATATTACATACATTGCAAAGTATTACAAGAGCAATAAGAAAAAAGAAAGCAACAAATTACGTAAATCATCATAGCTGAAAGGTTGGTAGTGGCCAAAGTAGCTTAGGCTTTCCAGTAGGGGTACTCTGGATTTCAAGTGACGGGGATGATCGAAGGATGTTTTGAGGTTTGAAATTTTCGATTCCGGTTTTTTTTTTTTGTAGGAAAATTTGGCAAGTATTTATGTTGGTGGCTTGATTTAAGAAGGATTTTTGTGGGTGTTCAAAACCATCTGAATATTCATGGAAGTGCCGGCGTATCCCGGCCGCGTAGTTCTGCGAATAAAGTAAAACCAGGACAAAACTTGTCTTTGGTGTCTCGAGTTTTGTTATAATATGATTATCAGATGCGGAAAAGATAACTTCAGATGGTATGATGAATAACAAACTCAAACACTCAATTTCTAAAGTATACATTGAGACCTAGTTGACAAATGTGATAAACAACAACTATACTAAATCAAACAAGTGAAAAACTAGCCTAAAATTCATCCGATTGCTTCGAGTCGTTTTCTCCTCTCAACAACTGAGGGAGTTAACGACTCGAAGTAATCGGATGAGATTCAGGCTAGTGAAAAACTAGCTCTATGCAAATTACTGTTAGTGGGATACACAGGGTATAAAATGTAACACCTTCGGGCATTTTTGTCTGATTTTTTGGCAACATAGCTATTCTTACTAACTCGAGTACGCTAATTTCGAAAATCATTGTTGCCAAGCTCAATTCTTGAGTTAAGATGGTACTTTGGGGCATTTCATTATGATGTCATTGTCCGAATAAGGGGTTTTCTTTCCTTTACCAATTTTAAGTTTACAAAAACGAAGAAGGGCTTGAATTTGTGATAAGTTTACTGTAAAAATAATAAAGAAAATTTCGAACAGTTTCTAGGAATATTAAGACGGAATCCATCAGGAAATTGAGTAATTTTAATTTTCAGTAGACAAAAAGCTTGTACCAGAATATTTTAAACGTATTCTTTTTTACACTTTTCAAAGGCTATAGATATAATTATTAGTTATCTGTAATAACACCAGAGACAATTTCTCACAGGAGCCCAAGAAAATAATTGTCGAATTTCACAAGAATTGTAAAAACACAGGTAAAATTCTGAAAATTCATGTGTAAGATGACATTTTGTAAAATTTGACATTTATTTTCTCGGGCTCCCATAAGAAATTTTCTTTGGTGTTATCATAGACAACTAATTACATCTATAACCCTTGAAAAATGTAAAAAAGAATGCAATACTTTAAATTATACTGGTACAAGGTTTTCGTCCTCTGGAAATTAAAATTACTCAATTCCCTAATGGATTCCGTCTTCAGCAGTCACTTGACAATTGCATGACCACACCCTTTAATATAAAATTCTTACTTTTGGTGCAGTGACTTTTTGAGGAACGAATGCAATACTTGTATCAACAAAAAGCTGCAATTAAAACAATGCAACCCTTACAACATCGTCCATAACACGTGTTCTTGGCAATTGCAAAACCTCGGTTCGTGCACCAAGCACGTTGAGGTAAAAGCGTTTGAAGGTGATGTTACACGAGGCGGTTTGCAACGACGATTTTCAGCGCAACACAGCGTTGCAATGTTGGAACAACGTGTTGCAACCATGCGAAACAATGTTGCAACAATGCTGTAATGCTGTGTTGCGTTAAAAATCGTCGTTGCAAATCGTCTCGTGTAATTAACATCACCTTTTACGGCTAATTCAAAGGTGAAAACTAATGAAAAGATGAAGGGGTGCAGTCTCAGACTGGCAAAATGTAACTGGAAGAAGAGTGGTTGCATTGTTGTTATCACAAAAACTTCCTCAGCGCTTAGCAGATGGATTCTAATTCGAATTCTATCCTACAACATTGGTTCCCGTATTAGTGCACAATAATCAGCGATGTTGTTTATCATGCATACACCACAGTGACCGCTTGATCCACAGAGAGATTGTGCCAGGGAAAGACAAAAGCAAGATAATGCAGATGCACTGTACCAGAAAACATTGGGGTGTTTTCCACTCAGACAAAAGATCCTGCCTACGACGTCGGAAATTTAGCATTCTCTTGCCTAATGTATCGGTCAAATCGAAGCTTCAACATGCCCCCCCCGGGCAACCCCCCGGACATTTGACTTTTTTGAAAATTATTGTTCAAATTCCCCCCTACCCGGGCCAAAATGCCGTTCAAATGCCCCACACTAGGGTCCATTCAGGTGATCAAATGCCCCCACCCCGGGGACATTTCACAGGCACAAAAATGACAGAAGGACGGCGGAAACGCCTTTAGTTGTCGAACAAAATCTTTATAAATATAACAAAAACTAGGCAACACTGTTAGCGTATTCACTACGAACAAAAGTCTCTTGCAAAGCGGAGGAAATCGCTGCTACAAGGTCACTGAATGCTCAGCTTTTCTTCGTCATGCAACATACAAAGCGTTCTATACAAAAAGATCCCACCTATTGAGATTACTACATCATGCCCATTTCACTGACATGCATCATCGCTCACCTTATTAATTAACATACTTGCAGTAGGTCAAAGTAGTTGACCGTTTTATTTTATTTTATGTTGTTGCATTGAATCGCCGGTATAGGTATTGTATTTCATTGTAAACACAACAATAAAATACATTCATACATTCAAAGCCTGAATCCAATATTAAAAATTTTAAAATTTAAATACTTCAAATACGGCACAAAGCTTGTTTAGGCCCTTTCCTCGTAACCAATTGGCCACAAAGGCACAATCTTATCCACGAAAATCCTCTAACACTGCGTCCCCCATGATAGCTCGCCACGCCAAATATTTTACATGAAATCGAGGGTGGAGTTCAAATTCCCTACCCCTAAAGCATGGGGATCAAATTTCCCACCCCCTGGAAGACTCTGATAATCAAATTCCTTCCTCCCCGGGATTGCAAAGGTGTCAAATGCCCGGGGTATGCCCGGGGGGGGGGCATGTTGAAGCTTCGATTTGACCGATACATAAGTTGATCTAAGGCAAAGACTCAGATTGAATAGTTTGTGCAATGTA